CAGTCCTGGGAACAGCTAAGATACTGCGCAGGACCCTCAAGCTCCCAGGCCTCTGGTAGAGGACCCGAGCTTGAAGGATAAACCGCCCGCAGGGGCGTGCTGGGGAATTTATTTATTTGTTTAATACACACACAGCTCGTGCCTATGGTACGACAACTTTCCTCCGTGCCCCTGGTACAACAACTTTTCTCCGTGCCCCTGGTACACTGCGCAGAAACACCTTGCCCCACACACACACACACACGCACGCACGCACGCATACACGCACACATGCACACACACGCGCACACACACACACACTCACAGAGGCAACAATACCAAAGTATTTCGAGTGCGTTACTGTCACACACATGTGAGACTCTTTTCTGCATATATTTTTGCACAGACTCCTGCTGGGCTGTGCAAAAACAAAACGACTGCTTGAATCAGTTAAGAGCAGCAAAAACTGTCCTTGGAAAAATAAACTGGGTAATTGAGTATTGAATATTTTTCTTGTTTGACGATTTTTCAAAGGAAAGCCCACATGATTTCTGTCATCATTTACTGTACTGATTAAACTGAATACCAACATTTTAGTGCATTTTTATTATAAGAATGTGAACATTGGTGAAGCGACGCACTCTGACCTCCAGGTCAGCTAAAACATGCATGAAACACAGTGATTCACCGCCCAGAGTCACAGCGTCAGCAGAGCTGCGCACGGCGCCAGGGCGTCCTTAAGACAGCAGCAGTGCTGAAAAAGGTCGAAGGTGCACGAGGAGGCCTCCATGAAGGAGAGATCAGACGAGTTCAAATCAGACGTGTTTTCGTGGTTCTGCACGTTCAGCCGCCGTTTCAGGTGACAAAACATTCACAAAATAATGACAAAAGAAAGAAAATGCAGGAGTTTGGATATTTCACGATCAAAATAATGAATCAGAATAAGAGGTGCCGCTCGGCGTTAGATCTCTTTATCTTGAGGAACCTCGTCGGTGCGACAGACGTGAATCGCGTTCGGTGTTAGAGACCTGGATCTTCAGAGATCAACCCACAGATGTTTTCACATAGTGAAAGAAGCGCCACTGTTGCTGGACCCGTCCATCGAGCGCAGAGTGGAGGACATGTAGAAGTCGGAGGTGACTCTGGAGAAGCGGCGTGGGGCCTTTCCGAGACACCAAAGGTCCCTGAAGATCCTCCTGAACTGGTTCCTGAAGTTCAGCGCCACCAAGGCGTACAGCATCGGGTTCAGGCAGCAGTGCAAGTAAGCAATGGTCTGCGACGCTGTCAGGGCCCTCTCCAGCATGTCCGCCTCATCACACGAGTACTCCTGAAACATGGTGACCGTGTTGTACAGCAGCACTATGTTGTAGGGCAGGTGGCAGATGATGAACACGGCCACAACCACCAGCATCTCCCACACCTCTCTGTGGTGCTGGAGATTCTTGGTCTTAAGCAGGGTGATGATGATGCCACTGAAGCAGAAGATCGTGATGAAGAGTGGCAGGAAGAAACCCACGCTGATCTGAGTGATGGGGACGTCCACCCTCACCGCCATGGCTGGGCCTTCAAAATTGAGCTCACAGACGTACGCAGGAGTCCTCTGGATATCAGTTTGGTTATCATCGTCGAATATGATGTGATTCATGTGTGACGGCTCGTACCACTGATAGAAGTAGAAGGTGGGGACGGACACGAGTATAGCGAAGATCCAGATGATGGCGCAGATGATGGACCTGTATGACAGCCAGCGCCTGCGCCGAGCCTGGGCGATGGCGATGTAGCGGTCGGTGCTGATGCAGGCGAACAGCAGCATGCCGCTGTACAGGTTCACGCTGTAGGAGCCGCGCAGCAGCTTGCAGGCCACCTGCCCCATCGGCCACGACCACAGCTCGTTGTAGACAATGAATGGTAGCGCCAGCACAAACAGCAGGTCGGCGATGGCCACGTTGATCAGGTAGATGTCAGTCATGCACTTGATCCTCTTGTAGAAGGCGTAGGTGACAATGACCATGCTGTTCCCCACGAGGCCCAGGATGCAGAAGATGGAGTGGATGTACGCGCCGATGACCTTCACCACATTCGGGTTGTTGTGAAAAACACAAAAACTATCATATTCTAGGTAGTCACTGACATTATAGTCATATTCATAGTAGGACATCTCCGTGGTGTATGGTTGGTTGGACATCAAATCCTCTGCAGAGTAGATCACTATAAAGGAAGCAGAGAGTAAACATCAAACTACAGCAAAGGTGTCTGATGGACTCACAGTGAAATGATCTCTTGCCACCCTAGTTTAGCATATGACAGTGATGTATATAAGACAGCAGTAAATGGTAAATGGCCTGTATTTATATAGCGCTTTACTAGTCCCTAAGGACCCCAAAGCACTTTACATATCCAGTCATCCACCCATTCACACAGCTGGTTGGTTATGACACTGTGGAAATGGACTGAAGGTGAGTGTTATTAACTCTCAGTGCGCTGCGAATCACATGACTGATTTTAGCTGACATTGCAACAAGCTGCAGCCGCGCTGAGTCTCTATTCCTTCTTGTGTTGAACGTTCGGACTTCCTATTTTTACATTTTAATGACAGGTGACTAAACCCAGAGTTAGGATGAAATATATACAAAAGCTTTGCTTTTTCCTGAATACTATTGTCACACAAAGAGTAAAGAAAGAAAAAAGGCAACACGTGAGATTTAGTTGTTTAGGACGAAGTTTTGGGAGTGATGACAGCGAGTGAGAGAGTTTTGAGATGTTTAGCATGGAGTGTGTAGTCAGCGTGTTGTGTGTGTGTTGTGTGTCAGTGAGGGCACTAATGAATGTGACAAAGGCTGCAGTGCAAACACTGTCTCCAGGTGGAAACAGGAGCAGTGATGCACGTCCTGCTGTCAGGCCTGCAGCTTTGTCCCTGTGCTGTTCTCTGTCTCGTGGCCACAAACTCATTTTCTTCACTGACACAAATAATTCGTGCGGCATCTTATTGCGACACCTGCTTGTTCTCTCATTGTAGTTTCAGTAGTTTTAAATGTTTGTACTAAGACAGGCCGGACGCACTGACTTTTAGATAAATAGTTTTTAAAATGTGACAGTTTATTTGCATTTCAACTTTAGTAAAATTATTCACTAAACATATTTGTGGTTTTTACAGTAAAGCGAATATAACTACGACTAGGATTTGATGTTTTTGTGTGATTTCAGATCAGTTGTGTTACTACAGCTGAATGATACCAAACAAGGCGAGGTAACAAAAGATGTAAGGGTGAAACACAAAGTAGTGAAAAGTGTGCGGTTATGTCGTGCTCTCCAGAGGGTGAACCCAACAAATCATGAAAACTGAGCTTTTTGTTCATGACGGTGCAGATTTCTGACATTTTGTGTAAATTTAAGCAACAATCTGATTTTTCTAACAAAGTGTGAAGCTTCAGTTAGACTTGTGTTTGTAAATGAACCGCCCCATGTTGTGTAGCTTTACTGGGCTACATATTTATTTATTATACAGGCTACACAGTACTTAACATCCAAACTCACACGTGTAACTGAGGTGTTTCATTATGTGGGCTAAAGAAAATAATTCAGTTACACAAACGTGCAGATTCAGTGCATGTGAACCATCGTAACCATATGTAACATATGTGTTTAAAAAGGCTTTGATTTGACCCCCCCCCCTCCCATTTCATTTCCATGCCAGCCTAAGAAAATGTCTCTAGATCCACCCGTGCTTCATAATAATTCAATAAAATCCACGTTCTTCATCTGCATCTCTGCAAACACTTAGCAGCATTACTAAAGCCAAAACACGTCTAAAGGTCACAGCAACAACAAAAAGGCTGATCAGCAGCAGGAGGAGAGTCTGAGCACCAATCCAGGCCTAACATTCCTGAGAAACACGAACACGCCAAAGTGAAAGCAGCTCGCTTCATTCTGACTGTCAGGTTCAGGAAGGAGGCGACCTGTACGGATACAACCTGCAAATAGAAAACCTGTTTACACCTGTGTGATGTAATGACCTGCAGTGTGAGGGAACGAAGGACCTACCAGCAACGCAGGAGAGGGAGGCAGTCCAAGCAAAGTGAAAGTGAAGCAGCTCAGAGGCAGCGTGCTGTGTGCAGGAAAGGACCCACAATGCAGAACAGAGAGTTAACTTAGGACGCAGCTTTATTTCGAGGGAAACTCCTCATTACAATAGACGTGACACAAACAAACCAAAACTTCAAATGCAGAACTGGGGAACAGGCACCTAGAAACTAAGAATACTTGGGCCACGAAGGGAGGAGACGCAGCACAAAGATGGCACAATGTGACGAAGAGCATAGGAAGAAGCAGACACTAAATACAAGTGGAGAACAGGGCAAAGAGGAAACACCTGGGAACACGGCTGGCACAGACAAAACAGGGAAGAGCAAAACAGACGGGAGACTAACAAAGTAAAACAGGAAGTACACAGAGATGCAGACTGACTGAATACAGACTCAAGCAACTAACAATGACACATCATAATGAAATTGACTACTACTAATAATACATACCAGAAAACATTCGGTCACCGACCCAGGACTGCGACACTCATACCTGTGACAGGTAACCAGTTGAGCAGGAAATAAGGCATGGCCTCTCAACTCCTCCTTCTGATTCTTATTCAGCTGGGTCTTCAAAAGAGTTCCTGTCGGATTTCTCAGACTTTTTCTCTGATTTAGTGCTCAGCTCAGATAGAATAATTATTGTGGGTGATTTTAACATCCATGAAAACGATCAGACAGCAGAGGGTTTTCAGGAAACACTGTTAAATGTTCAGTTTCTATGCCACGTGTTAAAACAAGATCTGAGTGTGATTAAAGTGGTGGGTGGGTTCTTTTACAGTCTAATAACAGATTAAATGCCATGTTGAGGCTGTCATTCTTAGCATCTACATGGATGTTAAAATCACCCACAATAATTATTTCATCTGAGCTGCAGTGACCAACGTTCCCTGTAATGTTTCACGTGTCTGAACACACAAACTCCCCGAGCGGTCCTTGGACCACTGTGAGCGACAGCAGACGTGCACTGTGGTCACGCCAGCATCGAATCATCCAAGTTACATGTTTTATTAAACTAATCAAATTACAGCATTTATGTTAGACTACTTTTAATTAATTGCTTTAGCCCACTTACAATGAAAATGTAAAAAAATTTGGGAGACCACCAGGGGGACGTAAGGAAGATGGCAGCATAAGCTTGCAGCTCCCGGTCAAAACTCGAGAGAAAACCAGAATTCGAATATTTCCACCGCTAAACCGTGTAATAAATGCCATGGAAGGTGGAAGAAGGTCAAAAAGACAAGGAAACATTAAGGACTTTGTGAAACAAGCGGAGCTGGCAAGAGGAGGCAGCGCAGACATGTCCGAGAACAGCGTGCAAGGCGAGCAGATGGAAGGAGATGCAGCTAGCCACCCTCACGCAGACTTCCAGGACATCATTAAGGACATTCACTCACTTAAAGCCGAGTTTGCCACGTTTAAGAAAGACATCACACAAGAAATGAAGGACGAATTCGACAGCTTCAAGAAAGACATTAATATAAAACTGGCAGAAACAGCGAATGAGCTAGCTAGCCATGAGACCAGACTCAAGAAGCTGAGAAAAGACTGGAAGAGATGGAAAAGATGCTCTAATCCAGTCGCTCCAGCAACAACGGAATATTCAGATGAAACTGGCTGACTCGGAAGGCCGACGGAACAACATTCGCATTTTTGGCCTAAAAGAGGCTCTGAAGGAAACTGTGCTGCAGTGTGTGGAGGACTTGCTGAGGGCTGAGCTTTCGCTCGGATTCTGCTCTGAATATTCAGCGGGCGCACAGAGCTCTGGGGCCAAAACCACAAAAACCTCCGCCATCGGTGGTGGTTAACTTTCTTCAGTTCTAACACAGTTTGCTGCATTGTGGGAAATGTAGGAAACCCCCATTTGAAGACTTCTTAACATGTGGCAGCCTCTTTTTAAAGGGACCAAAAGTAATTGGACAAGTGACTCAGAGGCTATTTCATAAGTGGGTGTGGCCAGTTCCCTCGTTACGTCGTAATTAAGCAGATGAAATGCCTGGAGCTGCTTTGAGGTGTGGTGCTTGCATTTGGAAAGTTTTACTGTGAACAGACAACATGCGGTCAAAGAGAGCAGAAAAACCATCTGAGAAATGTCTACAGTGTTAGGAGCAGTGTTGGTCAAGTAATCAGATTACAGTAACGCGTCATCTCTGGTTAGGAGTAGCAGTTTGGTACATGCTGAGCAGAAACAAAGCACTGGTGACCTCAGCAGTGTAAAAGCAGCCGGCCGTCCACAGAAGACCACAGCCGTGGATGATCGCAGAATCATTTCCATGGTGAAGAGAAACTGACAACAACAGCCAACCAACAAAGCTCTCCAGGAGGAGGAAGGCACATCGATATATCCAAGTCCACCATAAAGAGAAGACTGTAAGTTCACTGCATGGTGTAACCCACTCACAAGCCTCCAGAATAGAAAGGTTAGGCTGGACGTGACTAAAATGAACATCTAACAAAGCCAGCGCTGTTCTGGAAAAACTTTCTTTGGAAACATGAAACCAAGATCAAGAAAAAAGTAGGTGTGGAACAGCTCACGATCCAGAGCACGCCACACAATCTGCACAACACAGCACAGGCAGTGTGATGCTGTGGGCGTGCATGGCTGCCAGTGGCACTGGGACACTAGTGTTTATTGACGATGTGACACAGGACAGAAGCAGCTGAATGAATCTGAGGTGTTCAGACACAGACTGTCTGCTCACGTCCTGCTAAATGCAGCCAAACCGGGACTGGTTTCATAGTACAGACGGACAATGACTCACAACATCCACCGAAGCACCTCAGGAGTTGAATTTTCTTCAATGTCCAAGTCCGTCACCTGATCCTAACCCCGCTCAGCATTTCACTCTGAACTTTGGACAGAAAGGCCACAAACAAACATCAGCTGCAGGTTGGTGCAGTAAAGCTGTGGCAGAGCATTAAACAGCAGGAAACCAGCATTCAGGCTGTCAGCGCCAGCAAAGGGTTTGGAATAAAGTAATAGAAACAATCATTTGATTTTCAGTTACTTCATTTGTCCAAACTCTTTAGAGCCTCTAAATCAAAGGGATTGTGCTAACAGTACTCCAGTTTCTCCCATTTTTAATCTGTTTGTCCAACCCACTGAATTAAAGCTGAAAGGCTGCACTTCAGCTACATCCAGTGTTGGGAAGGTTACTTTTAAAATGTATTCCATTACAGAATACAGAATACATGCCCCAAAATGTATTCTGTAACCTATTCCGTTACGTTACTCAATG